ACCGTCTGATCATCCAAACGTTGGAGACGAGACCTGAAACAAAAGGTGCTGAGGCAACAAAACGCGGCATGGAACTGCTCAAAAACTCCAAGCAAAAGCTTGGAACAAGGAAGCGCATGCTGCTGAACATGGCATTCTGAGGAGCAACTGGTTCAAGTGTTGAATTTCAGAGGCACATCATGACATCACTTGATCGAGGAGGGATATATATATATATATATATGTGTCGGCCTAACAGGTTTGAATCTTGCCCGTCTTTCCAAGTCTCGTAAGGTCTTGACGGCAAGGGCCGGGTGCTCTTCCTTCGGTGAGAAACACGGCAAGGTCACTGGGGAACGCCCTTAGCCCACCCACCACACGCAGTCTACCCACCTCCCTACCGTCCCCCAAAAGTAGCAACACCTTGGAGCGGAAAGACACGGAACAGTCACGTAAAAAATCCATGGCGTGGCGTATGCAGCCTGTTCTCCAAACAGTGAGAAGTCCGCAGCGAGTGCTAAGCGCTGCTCATGACAGCTCTCAAGTGATGCGGAAGCCCAGCTCTCCTAGCTGAAGAGACCTGTTGTGGCTGGGGAGCCTGAGCAAAACCCGGATGAACATTCTCAGTCGTTGTTGCCACAAGTGGACAAGAATGTAATGGCAATGGCACATATTCGGTGTTTTGCGCACAAACATCGCTCCACCAAGTAGGGCCTCCAAGCAGTCTTGGGGTCAAGAGGAAAGTCATACTCTGCACTCGATATCCCAAACATTCCCAGACTTGGGAAACTGTATGTATATATATAATGTATGTACCGGGTAAACCAGCTTTCAAGTCATGTCATACAAACATCACACAACACTCAATGACTGAAGGGGTGAAGGGGCTTCACCAGCGTAGTGACCCAACACTGCAAGATACTAGCTTGAAGTTGGTACAAGCTGCACAAAGTTCCAGATGCTGACGTCATACTACAGTAGAAGACCAAGCGTGAGAAAAGCTGCAATGAGGCCCCCCGCCATCGGAATCATGGGTGGAAAAACCGTGGCATCCTTTCGACATTTTCAAGCGATAATCATCGGAGGATCGCACAGTTGAAATCGCGCTCAATAACATATAATATACATTCAGTTTGCATAGTTTGCTGATGAAACACTCTGAAGCATCACAAGCCAACGCAGGATGCAACCAAGCGCACCCAAAATCATCCAGCAAGAAAGATCAGTTGATCAACACCAAGAATCCGCTCTGTACAGAAGATTAATTTCTCTAGCTCTCTCTCTTCGATCGTTTTCAGCTCGAAGTCCACCCCACCCAGGCTGAGGAACGACAGTGTACTCCGATCTTTTTAGTGTTGCTTGGTCTATATTCATGTCGATTCAATTCTAGCTAGCCACAATGCCCAAGTTCATCCAATGTCCTCATCTAAGCATGGCCGGATAGACCAGCTGCAATCAGCAACTGGCATGGCAGTGAGTGCTGGCATTCTGAATGTCACCAACCCTTTCAAAAGGGTTAGCCCGTTGCAGCCCGTTAGTTAGTAGCCCACTTACAGTACAATTATACAATTTAATGGCAAAGCTGATGCTATTACACTATATACTTGCACGAGCTTCTCCCTAACCTACCCAGGACGATGAAACCTCCCAGGCTTTCGTTCAACATAATGCTTTTAGGATCTTTTGAGTGCTTTTAGATCTTTGAACATGTTGATGCATGTTCAGTTTTCTGTCCTGCATATTGTCGGATTTAGCGCCATGAAGCACCTCCTCCTTCTGCACTGCGGGCAGGCACCGGCAAAACCAACTGCACGGGCCTGCAGCAATTGGGACATAGCAACTTGCCGAGGTCTTTACATGTGGACATAGAATCGTCCACCCAATTAATGAATCCACATACGAATGAACCTTCACAAATCTTTTGCGCTCTTGCTCCCTCCCAAAATGACATGGCCATATCTCATTGACCCAACGGTCTAGCCTCGGCGTCGTGACCTCATGGGGCGGAGAAACAAACTTGAGAGGAGGGAGACACGAAAGGTAGGACAGCGGGAAGAGAAGAGAACGCGAGAGGCAGGAACAAAAATGCAATGTTCGACATGGTGATTTATCCCCTCGGAGGCGACCTTTCGTAAATATATGTTCATATGCACTCTAAATGTTCAAACATATGCTCTCGAAATGTTCAAAAAGGTTCTTAGGAAAACAAACTTGCCCCATGGCTCAGATCATCGGTGAGCATTGAATCGGAACATCATAGGATTTGAACTATCCTGAAACCATAAGAGGCTCACGAAGACGCTCCCCAGGAGAGAATTGACGTGCTTCACAAAACAAACTCTAGGTATGTATCCCCTCGGGGAACACCTTTGGTGATTAGAATTTCATATTCACTCTTTCTAAATGTTCAAGAGGGTTTCAACTATCCTGAAATCATGAGAGGCTCACGAAGACGTTCTCCAGGAGAGAATTGATTTTAGAGGGGGGGAGGGGCGGGGTCTGTATTGAAAAATCAATTCGAGGGGGGGGGGTCTGAATTGAGCGATCAATTATTAGACCCGGACGTCCCAACACTTGCTTCGCAAGACAAACTCAAGGTATCCCCTAAAGGGCTGCCTTTCGTGATAAGAGAGAGACCCCAAGAGCAAATGACGGCCCAGGACAGCTGAAACAGCTTCTGAGAAAACATAAATAAACAAAGAATGTTAACATACAGTATGTAAATACTAGACTCCCTCTCTCTTTTCTCTATATGTAAATGTCGTATATGCGCACCATCCCGCCGTTGTTTCTATATTCGCCCTCGTTTTCAGTAGCTTTCGGAGTAATTGAGTCCACCATTGGCAAGCTGATCGCCATAGCCCCATGTTCTGCTGAACATCGGATCCCACCATTCAATTTTTCATCCATGAGGTTCCATGAGAGCTCAAACACTCCGTAAACCTGATGAATCACAAAACTGATACATCTGGCCTGGGATGCGGAAATTGGGTGCACAAGCTGTGGTGAAGCCTCCGCGCATGATCGCGCATGCAGAGATTCACAAACGGCAGGACCGTATGTTGTTTTGTTTGTCTTCAGGATCCTGAATGGCCCTAATCAGGGTGCACACATAATTCCCTAAGTGAAAGTGAACGACTGCATCAGGCCCACAACCGGTGAACTCAATTGATTTGGCACTTGTCCGAAAACATGTCACAGCACAATCCAGCTTCCATACCAACCAAGCCCATTGCGTAAAGAGTATCACAGTAGTTCTTGAAAACCTGACCTGCAGTGGTTCCTCTTTTTGGAAGTAAGGGTCAGGTGCTGATCCGTCGTTGCTATAAGACCCGCCGCAGCCTCAACATGTCCTTTACTTCCGCTTTTCAAGCGCACGAACTTACCCAACGATCACTGGTCCGATGCCCAGCTATCTGCTGTGCCAACAGTGACTTGGCAGAAGACATGCAGGCCAAGGCTATAATTAGTTACCGGCTTTCTTTTTGATACCGGATATCTACGAATTTAATGCTCGACTCTATTCAACATTGGGCTAGTTTGGACCCTCTTGCAGCAACTTAGTTGCCCAAGAAAGCCCGAGCTTGCCACGCTCAAAATGAATCAACATTACCTCTAGACGGAATTGATGCAAAAGGCTATGAACTATAGATGTGGTGTGGTCTTATTGTGCTTGCATTTCCGTGGCACCTGGACTGGACGCGTCCAACCAATGGGGTTCAATTCCATCTTAGGGTCATAGCTGACATCAAACAACATGACTCTGGTCCGGCTGAGAAAAGGCCGCTGTGCGTCCACCTCCCGCCTCCTGCTGGAGGGGTCGCAACCGCAAGACCCTCTTTTTTTGCTCGCTTTCTTCGAGAAGCACTGGTGGACTCACTGGTGGTTATATATCTCCTTCACCACTTGGGTCAGGTGTCTAGAAAACCAATTAGGAGATCTAGGATGGATGCTGAGCCAAATTCCCGGACGCAAAGCTGCACACGTATTGCGTTATCTTGCTTTCGATGACCCGCCCTAACGCTTTGAGTTGCACAAACTTGTGACTTGCTGTGCCAAAGCTCTCCGAGCATGGCCCAAAGAAACCTTGCTGCCTTGCTAGCAAGCATCATTTGCCATCTCTTGGAGATGTCAAAGTCTGCAAAGCGGTGTTCACCATGCTTTGGAAGTTCCACATGCATCCGACAGGAGCTGTGCTTAGGAGGCTGGTCAACCAGGAGAGCATTGCCGATGTACCTCTTTCTTGCGAACAATGGGCAATGGCAAAGACATTGTGAGTATTTATCAGCATCCTGAATCATGAGGTTGAACTTCGATTCATTCTCATCTGAAAGTCGACTTCCTCGCAAGCAAGGATACCGCCAGGCTCAGGCACTGATTTGTCGGGACCAAGAGTTGTCCACGCTGAGCCCGGTAAACTGCGACATCCTGAAGTGCGGAGTGTGCTGGAGAATGTCAAAGTGCAAAATTTATCTCACGTTGTTTGTTCAGGCTGTGCAAACAGCATGCTGACGCTGTAAGCCAGTTGCGGCCACCTACACATTGGAGCCAAAAAACTGCAAATTGAGTAGCTGGGCCCAAGTAGCACGGGATAATGCGGGCAGGGCGGCACAATGTAGCAACGTGTAATAATTGTATACTATATACAGTATAAAAAATATATATATATATATAAGATTATATAAGTATTATTGTGCATTTGGCTTTGCACGCTGCCTACTACAATTTGGGCAAGCGGCCTCTTGCTCCTGGTGCGTTGTTTGCGGAACAGTGCTGCCTTTCGACATCTTGCTATATCTTGTTAAGGCTGTGCCCACTGCTCATGCAAGGCCTCTTATCATCCTTCGGTGTAAGCTTGTGCCACAACCTTGGCTTAGCGGCTTACCCTTGGCCGGTTTTGGATGTGTAACTAGTCTATATAAAATGGCCACCTGCATTGCAACCTCTAGCTAGCACAAAAGCACTCAGATTAAGAACCTCCTTGCTCAGCCTGCGTTAGGATGCAACGTTCCATGGGGCACTTATTGCTGAATTGTCGGCCTGCTTCTCCTGGTCCTCGGGGCAAGGCCAGTCAATCTGCTGACCAAGCAAGGGAACAGGTTCACCCCCAAAAATGATTCAACTAGCAACTGGTTTGGTTCCCAGCGTTCTGCGGACCGGCGATCCAGCATGCGGTCTTGTAGGTAGGATCAATGCTTAGTCGAATGTAGCCATGGCAACCCGTGATGCCTTGCAACATCGAATGCTGGCCTGTAGGCCACTGTAGGCCATTGTGCTATGATCAATGTGCCACCAATGTGCGACGCGTCCTGATTCATAAACATTTATTAGACTGGGTGGCAAACGATCTGCACACCTGTTGGATTTTGTGCAACTTCTCAACCACCCAAAGGGTGCATTTACTCCACTCCTTAAATAATCGGTGTGCCTCTTCCTAAAATGCGATGGAGGCAGGAACTCTGAAAGTGCTGGACGCGTGTTGTGTGCTGAACGTCAGCTGAAAGCTTGCCAAGATTCATTTCGGTAAGCTGCTTCATCTTCACCTCCATGTAAGCCTGGAGGCGAAGAACGAACCAATTCTGAACACATGTCACATGTCACCCAACAACTTCCGGCATCGACGATCTTTCTGTTGTGGTTTCAATAGAACACGCTGTACTGGCTCTGTTGAACGGATACAAAATGGAGGATCGCCTAATGTTCGATCAGCTTTGAACACATCCATCCCCAAATGCCAGATTGGCCGCTCATTCTCATTTCCAAGCGGGCAATCTCAGTGACTGACAATGAGCGAACATACATACTGCATCATACCTCCCGGACTGGCCAGAATGGCCAAGCTTGGGGCAGAATGGCCTGGAAGTGACCCGTGTTCTTGATAAGCCAAGTCTGGTCCTAAACCGCGGGAAGAAGCTTGCTACGGGAAAGGCTATCTATTCACTTCGAACCTCAAGATACTTCAAGCCAAAATATTCAGAACATTGCCGCATTGCCAAAGGCCTTTCAGTTGGAGAAAAACAATAAGCAGCCATCACAAAGCACGTGTGGCCAAGATATATAAACCAAGCATCATGAAGGATCTTTCCTACATCCACTCCACGGGCTTGACCTCGGAGTCTCAAGCAGCCCTTGAAGAATTCCTGTCAGGATGCTCACACTTCTCAAGTTCAGTTATTCTTCTTTTCTCTTCAAACATTGAGCTATCCATGACCACGGGGAGTCAACCGTTGCGAGTGCGATATCCGATCTTGCTCATGTTCCCGTCTCCCTTCCTCAATCTCCACGGCGCCACCTTGTGCACGAGGCTCGTGTGACACACATTTGTCACATAGAAAGTCTAGTCTAGCTACTAGTAGCAGTGCACTTGTTACTAATAGCGATGCCCTTGTTACTAGTAGCTTATAGATAAGAACTAGCTTCTGTCTGCTAGTAGCTCCTTGCTCCTAGTAGCGATGTCCCTTGTTACTATATAGATCTATATAATAGCTTCTTGTTACATCTTGTTACTACTAGTAATGCCAGCAGCTACTACTTAGTTTAAGACATGCTATTGAAAAGTCAAGTGAAGTCATTTGTCTCTCGCGGGCCTGAAAAAATAGCATGCTTGGCAAAACTCAGATCTGAATTTGGCGAGTTGAAGAATGCAGTCGAGTTGCCCTTGTCCAAGTCCAACAACTTGAAGAACGACCAGGCGTCCCACACATCCAAGCCTTGTAACGCTTCGGCCCTTGGGCTTCGGCAAAGTATGTTGTGTAACGGTCGATGTGAGGTGGCCAAAGCACGAAGACCGCCAAAAGTCACGGAACTGGGAAGAAAGTATGATCTGAGCATAGCCGAGCTGCCCAAAGATTCGAAGTATTCGCAGGTGGCAGGCGAATTGATCCCCTCTTCAAACCTGAGTTTGCTGTCATCCAGTGTTTTGAGCAATGGCAAATGGCTGAAAGCATTCAGGAGACCAAGCGCAATATCTATGTTCCATCATGTCTGTCCTTTCCTTTGCCTTTGTTTGGGAATTGGCCGTTGTCTGGAACAAAACTGAATGGTGTATGTACTATGTCCGAAATGTTTTCTACTGCGATCTACTTGTGGGCATTGGCAGCCTAGCCTACCGCAATGGCTTCTGGTCCTAGCCATTTGCAGCATCTACTTGTGGGCATAAACTACAGTAAATGGTGGTTTCATCTTTTTGCTGCTTGGTTGCATGGCATAAGTGATGACGCCTGTTTTGTCGGCACCAAGCTGAGAGAACAAAGAGCGAATCTTGTCAATATGAGCCTGTCAAGGCTTCTGCGTGGTGCCCAAATAGTAACAAAATATACACCCAACACAATCCTCTTTCAAACATTGAGAGACCCTGTCCTCTTTATTTGCCAGCATTGCATGCACGATATTGGCATGATCGTTTTGGGCACTGTCAATGGCAGACCTCACTCGCTCCAGGAGACCCCCCAGGACCTAAAATTACAACTGAAGCCCACTCAAACACTGTCCAGTTGGAAGCTTTACATGATCATCTTTGGCTCGCCAAGAGGCTGGCAAAAAACTCCTGTCACCTTGATGCGATAAAGCTGGGAAGCGGCATTGACACTGGGTCAGGTGAAAGGTACATCTTTCAAATGCCTGAGGCATTCCTTGACTGACACCTGTTGCCAAGTGCTGCCCAGCTTCCACATTTAACACCGCAAAGTACGTAAAGCTTACCTCAGGGATCATCCACGTTGAAGTGCAGCGGCCCAAAGATCGCACGCAGCACTGAAGAGCGCAGCCG